GTGACATTAGTTACTGATGCTAACTAATATAAAAGGAACTACCAGCAAAACAAAACTATACATGGAACGGGAGAAAACACTTACCAAGCACAGACCTGATTAGGGGTGGCTATGCAAAGCATATAAGGGATTCACACTCAGAGTGAAGACACAGTCAGTCTGATTAAAGTAAGTCATAGGGACTGGAGCTATTATAGTGCAGAGAGCAGGGCATTTGCCTTGCACGCGGCCAACCTGGATTTGATTCCCAGCATCCCATAAGGTCCCCTGAACACCACCAGGAGTAATTCCTGAGTGCAAAACCAGGAGTAACAACTGTGCATCGCTGGGTGTGGCCCAAAAAGAAAAAAAAAATTACCGTCAGAGGATCTGAGCAAACATTTTTTTCAAAGATGATGAACAGCTGATAAATGAGGTAAATAAGAACAGATGACATGACGGATGACCAACAAATAAAGGTCAATAGGAAGAAAAGGAATGCGACACCACTGACTGTCAGGAAGACACGAACCCCAATGACTAGGAGAGGTCTCCTCATACTTGTTAGGCTGGCGAGTATCAGAGAAACAAATACTGTCAACCTTTGCGGAGCATGTGGAGACAGGGGACTCCAAGCCAGGCATGCTGGGTAGGAACACAACAGTCATAATGGAAAACAGCACAGAGAGTTGTTAGAGAATCGCAAACACAACTCCCATCAGGTCCAACCATTCCACTCCCGGGTAGTTTATCTGTGGAAAATGAAAACACTAACTTGAAAAAGTTATCTGGTGGGTGGGGTGCGGTGCCACCAGCAGGTTAACTTATACCTGCGGGGCAAGTGCATCAGCACCCTGATGGTGCCTTCAGGCTTCCTGATACCCCAAAATTGCTGTTGTGCCTCTGGCCAGACCCCAAAAACTTGGGACCAACTTTCCCAAAGAAATTAAATGGCCAAAAGTTAGGTATGTGGGAGTCATGCCCACAAACCACCATGGGCACAGCTATACAAGCTTATTTATTGGCCTTATTTCAGAGACCCATAAATAAATCTCGAAAGAGATCAAAAGCTATAGTTAATCTCAGACCCACGGAAGGCTGGACAGAGAGGGGTATATGGGTAGGGAAGGGTCAGCCTGGTGCCTGCCCAAGCAGAGCCCTTGGCAGCCGCTTGCTCCCACATTGCTGCCATACCCACGGCCAAGATGGACCTCACTGAGATGTTAACCTGTTGAAAATTAGGGTATGCAGGTTTTGTGACTGAAATCTCCAAGCTTTCTCGGGGTCAGAATGGGCTACCTCCTCCTCCCACCTCCCTATACTTCTAGAAGCCGTGGCGGTCACATCCATATGCCAAAGCTGCCATCCAGTTAAAAAAGCAACTCCAACCTTACCTTCCCGATAAAAATACTGAACACCCTGATCAAACATGATGATCTCTTAGTACCTATATTGCAAATCATAATGCACAAAATGAGAGAGAGAAGAAAAGTGCCTACAATACTCAGGGTGTGTGTGTGTGTGTGTGTGTGTGTGTGTGTGTGTGTGTGTGTGTGTGTGTGTGTTTGGGGGCAGGGGTGGATTGTTGGGGAATGGTGGGGTGGAAATGGGAAACATTGGTGGTGGAAAATGTACACTGATGGAGGGTTGGATATTTGGATGGATCATTGTATGACTGAAATCTAATCATGAACAACTCAGTAATGATCCATCTCACAGATCTTCAAAAATTTAAAAAAGAAAAAGAAAAAGTTATCTGTATGGCCGTATTCACTGCAGCATTATTTGTAATAATTGATCCACGGGGAACACCCCTCCTATTTGCAAGTGTTTACAGATGGATGAAAAAAAGAAACTGTGGTAGAAGCATAATGCAATGGAATAGCATTCACTCACAAATTCCCAGGTACAACACAGCTGAATCTTGGGGGCATGAGGTTGAGTGAAGCAGAAAGACAAAGGTCAGAGGATCTCATTGAAATGTGGAATTTAAAAAATGCAAAACAATAGGATTAATCTCAGAAGAGATGGCGAGTTCATGAAACCTCCAGGTACATGGGACTTTAGGCTGCCAACTCTGGGGCCTTCTCTGACCTCTATGCTCACTCTCCTTATTGCCAAAGCCCCGGCAGGTGTGCTCAGGCCAAAGAACCATCCCAGCACAGCAACCTGGATTGGAAAGTAACATAGAAGTCCACTAAGCTCAATAAACAAAAACAATAACACAGAAGGCTCAAAGAGCTACAAACAGCTCAGTAAATCCTCAGACAACGACTAAAATAACCTTTGTTGAGACATGACAATTTCACAAATTTTCTTTTCTGGAAATATTTTTTGATAATTTCATTTAACATTTTGTTATAACAAAGAAACAGAAAATAAATTATTTTGTGCCTGCTCAGGGGACAGGCTTGGAGGGTGGGTGGGAGACAGGGGACATCAGCGGAGGAAAGGTTATACTGGTGGTGAGATTGGTGTGGGAACACTGAGTGCCCAAAACAACTGGATTATGGACAACTTTGTAAACCAGGGTGTGTAAATAAAGTTAGAAAAAAAGAAACAGAAAACAACAACCACCTAAACTCTTAAATACAAAATACAGATTGATGGAAGCAGGATGAATGTGTGTGTGTATGAGAGAGAGAGAGAGAGAGAGAGAGAGAGAGAGAGAGAGAGAGAGAGAGAGAGAGGGAGAGAATGATTATGTGTGTGTCTGTGTGTTGGGGGGAGGAGGGCTTTAGCGAACTATAAGGAATTATAAGGCTTGGGAGTTACACGTAGTATACGGTGCAGGTAGGGCATGCCCTGCACGTGGCTGACCTGGGTTCGATTCCTCCATCCCTCTCGGAGAGCCCAGCAAGCTACCGGGAGTATCCTGCCTGCACAGCAGGGCCTGGCAAGCTCCCCTTGACATATTCGATATGCCAAAAACAGTAACAAGTCTCACAATGGAGACGTTATTGGTTCCCGCTTGAGCAAATAGATGAACAACGGGATGAGTTACTACAGTGCTACAATAGTACACTGCATTAAAAAAAAAAAACAGGGGCTGGAGCAATAGCACAGAAGGGTAGGGCATTTGCCTTGCATGCAGCCGACCCGGGTTCGATCCACGGCATCCCATATGGTCCCCTGAGCACCACCAGGAGTAATTCCTGAGTGCATGAGCCAGGAGTAACCCTTGTGCATCGCTGGGTATGACCCAAAAAGCAAAAAATAAAAAATAATAACATTTTAAAAAAACCCAACCTAGTGTAAAAGTAGAATTTAAAAGTTTCATTATGAGAATAAAACAACTTTGGAGCTCTGGACGGTGACGTGAAAGTCTTAAGATCCCTTCCCAATCCATACGATTACCAAAGCATGTTTTTTCCCTACACCTCAAGCACATTCCAATGGTATCCCCACAATAAAAAGGACTTCTCCTTTGATTACATCTAAAAGTATTATTTTTAACGAAGTACTCATACCGATACTGAAATATATCAATGCTTAGGGCTAATATTTGCTCAGCGCATTCCTGTTCACCAAGTACTTGCCTGCTGGCTCTTGGTGGCAGTCCACGGACTGTGGGAGGTACTGAGTACAGTGTCCTATAGAAAAAGTTGGGGAGTCTCAAAGGCACCCAATACCTGGGCCCTCTGAATCCTGAGCGCTTGAGGTAGGATTTGCACCCAGACAGTCCCGTTCCTAGAGGCATTCCCGTCCAACTGAACTGAGAACCAACTAGGACAGGACGAGTTGCTCCCAGCAGCAGGGCAAGTGAGAAAGAAAGGGATATCCTCACATCCCAGCTGGAAAGAGAACAAAACAGGTTCTCTCTCCAGAGCATACTTACAGTGCCAAGAGAGGAACAAAACACTATAATTTGGGACCATTGACAGGCGCATGAGGTTTAAATTAGGCTGTTATCATTCTAAATAGCCATTAACAGTCGGTATAATGTGATAAAGATTATTCAGTAACAAAACTGCACAAAAAATAAAACACTTGATTAAAGCCGCGCAGCTAATGAGAGACCAAATCAAATTCGAGGGTTAATGTCTCTGCCCCTTTAGACAAGGGATGATTCCACTCCCATTTTTAGCAACACAATGACCTGAAAGTTCTCCCATATAAATATCACTGGGCCAAAGCATTAAAAAAAAATCTCAACCATACAGCATACCAGTTTGGTTTCAACAGCATTGGAAACCACACTTTCCCTTGGTAGTAATGAAGATAAGTATCTGAAATAAGACCTAGGATTGTCTGCAGCTCTTGTAAAGGACAAAAATCACTCCCTTCAATTAAGCAAATTACCCCAAATCCGAAAGATGATCTGATTCATGACTTAGCAGATGTACAAGACAAAATATTTCCTATACTCTAGATTTCGTCAACTCAGACAACATTTGCTACTTCTTTTTTCCTTCTTTCTTTTTTGGTTTTTGGGCCCCACCCAGTGATGCTCAGGGGTTATACCTGGCTCTGCACTCAGGAATTATTCCTGGCGTTGCTGGAGGACCACATGGGATGCCAGAGATCAAACCTGAGTTGGCCTCCTACAAGGCAAACACCCTACCTGCTCCAGCTTCACATTTGATATTACTGAATCTAAACTCAGTTAAAAAAAAAAGAAAAGAAAAATTTAAGGGGCAAGGACAGGGATTGTTTAGGAGTTTCATGGATAGAGAATACCTAGTCACGCTTCATTTTTTTTTCTTTTTGGGTCACATCCAGCAATGCTCAGGGGTAACTCCTGGCTCTTCACTCAGGAATTACTCCTGGCAGTGCTCGGGGGACCATATGGGATGCCGGGGATCGAACTTGTGTCGGCTGCGTGTAAGGCAAACGCCCTACCCTCTGTGCTATTGATCTTACCCTTAGTCATACTTCTTTAAGTGATGGGTTTATGTCAAAGATAAAAGGCTTATAGAAGGGAGAACTACTGTTCAGGTGCAGCAAATGTGCATTTGGCAAACAAGTGGAAGGCAGTTCCATTCAGGGCGCCAGCCAGGGCTGGAGCTTGTCCAACTTACTCCATCATGGATGGCGGGATGGTGCAGCAGTCTTGAATGGCGGTGAGGGGAGAGGTCAGGTGAGCCGTGTAGGACGCCTCCACCACCTGCTTGTTCCGGTTCACCACGTCCAAGTACCGGTTGAACTTCTCTCGGATTTTTTTGGCTAGCTGCAGGAGGACAGTGAGCACAATCAATCGAAAGTCAATGACAAGCAAACCCCGCGATCCTTTTGCTCCGAAAACCGTGAACATGTATCCCAAACCGTTTATCCCAAGTCTAGTTAACTGGAAGTCACATAAAACCACCAAGTCCCTCTCTTGGCACTATAGATCACCAAGACACAAAAGTCAGGGGAGATTCAGCACCAAAATCTTTTGTAACAGATAATGAGGCATTCAGAATGACCGTAGAAAGTTGTGATCCATCAATCAATGAGCTAGACGGCACTAAGGTCTCTGGCTAGAACCATCTGCAGAACAGTGGGCATTAGGGAGAAATGACAGAAAATGAGGGGAAACCCAGTGGTTCTTGCGTTCATAGCAATTTGGAAGAGAAACATACAGAAAGGGGTAGGGGGCATATGACTCTCCTGTAAACAATTCCAGGGCACATACACATGATCTTCCATGTGAACGTAGTGATAGCCCCATACAAATGAATCTGCATTGAGAATGCCATCATATTTTGGCTGCTACACCTTTAAGATGAATGAATGTCTTCTTTAACTCCAGCGAACAGAACACTTCATCATCATTTACGTTCTACGTGTGGCTAACAAGAGCAAATTGGTAAGCCCACTGCATCCCCCTCCATTGTTCTCATCCAATATCACAGCTTAATTGCAGATCTCTAAGGGACAGTGTTGTTTTTCTTCCCCTTAAATAGAACGCTACCCAAATGCAATGCTGGATAGAATTAGAGCTAATTGGTTTTGGAGAGCTATTCATTACTCATACACCAGAGGAGAGCTAATTGCCTCCTTGGGGTCAGGCCTCTCACATAATCCGATCGCTCGCAGGCCAGGGCCAAGGTGCCGCGTTAGCACGTCTTCATTCGGGAGTTTTCAAATCCATTTCAAAATCGGATTTTTTTCCCCGTGATGTTTGGGAGCTGGTAAGTGGGTCAATTCAATGAGCAGAAGGTCTCGACTGCATGCAATAACGCATGAACGATCACATGTGGAAGCATCAGAAGACCCCATTAGGGGCTGACAGTGTAACGTTTAATCTGATGATGACTTGGCCAAGTCACTCTTGCATTTTCAAAGGAGGAATTTTGTACTGGACAAATCAATGTGTCCACCTATAATTCTACTCCTTGACCTACTGTTACTACTTTTGGTAAGTTTTGCCCTCCTTTAATATGGATTCTCTCCCTTAAGGCACTGCAATAAAATCTATCGAAACAGTATGTTACCCCTGGAGGATTTGGGACTATCACCACTGTCAACCCAGGGACATTTAACAGAATTCGAGAACAATTTTGATGGTCACACTTGGTGGAGAATGTCCTGGCATCCAATGGGGTTCAGGCCAGGATGATACTCAATGATCTACAGAGCACAGGATAACACTCCACAACCAAGACGTATATTGGCCCACTTGTTCATGGTGTCCCATTTGAGGAATCCCTCTCAGGCAAAAACACATCAAAGGTAATAATCTCAATTTGTAATTCAGTCAATAGTTCCTTGGCAATATTTCAGCTTAGTTTTCCAGTCACTCACCTGGTACCTGGTCCTCAAGAGAAACATCTAACAAAATTTAATATTTACAAATGTCCTTTTCTTCACAAAAGCAATATGAAACAGGCTTTTTTCTCAATCTATTGCTCTTTAAAATGTACCTGGGGAGGACAGTACTTGCCTTGCACAGGGCCGACCCGGGTTCAATCCCCAGCACCCCATACGGTCCCACAAAGCCAGGAGTAAGCCCTGAGGATAATCAGGTCATGAGGATAGTCAGGAGTGGCCCCAAAACCAAAGTACAACTGATAAAAAAATGAAACATACCCCAAATACAAACAGGACGGTCTGTCACCTGGAGATCAGGTGACAGGGCTATGGGGCTCCCTGAGTGCTCAGCAGTCTGGGGGCCAGTAGGCTTGAGGTTCCATCCTCAGATCTAGAGGTGCCAGGAACCACCAGGGTGCTCGCGAGACAATGGGGTATTGCGGACCAAACTTGGGCTCCCATGCATGCTTACACCATCCCTCTAAGCCTTCTTTCCATCCACAGACCGGTCCCTTTTTGAAACAGTACTTATACTAACAATTCTTTTTTTTCCTCCTTTTGTTTCGAGTAATTAAGAGAAACAAAGTATCAGGTTGAGTTTAAAATTCTGACTGCATAACCTCATAAGGTTGCCTATCTATCCCTCCTCAGAAGACATCCTATACCTAATGCTACTTCTTGTTTAATATCCGATGAAACCATTATCAGGTACTTCTAATGTCTGTGTCTGTGTCTTCAGCACCTAGCATGTAGTCTGTCCACTGCATACAGAACAAGAACAACAATAACTCAAAGAGGCCAGAGTGAGAGTCCAGCAGGTAGGGTGACTGTCTTGCTCATGACAGACCCAGGTTTGATACTTGGCTCCCCATAAAATCCCTGAAGTCCACCAGGAGTGAACCCAGAGCACAGCCAAGAGTAAGCCCTGAGTGGTCCAAAAACAAAAAAAGATTGGTGAATAAAGAAAGATAAAAAAGAAAAATTTACCTGAGAGATCTCTATCTTTAACTTTTGGTCTAAAGTTTAATGACTTCTTTAAAAACATTAGAAGTTGACTTTGCAAACATACAACAATATGCATTTCCAGAAATTCCATTAGGGCCAAATTTGCCTTTTGAGGTTGATGTGATTAACATATGCCTCAGAGACCTGGGCCCTATGAAAACAGGATGAGAACGCTATTCGGGTCTCCCAATGAGGAATCGAAAGAGCTATGCTTGGAGTATCACGCTTCACTCAAGTGAGAGAAAGAATCCAGAGTTCCGACCTTCGTCGATGATCAAGAATCAGGGATGCTGTCTCGTTTGCCAAGACATCGAAAATCAGATGGGCTGGATGCGTAATGCATAATGCAATTTGGAGACGACCACTGGACCAGAACCATTATCGACTGGATTCCACGGATTCCATGGGACATCAAAAGATCATGTGGCTGCCCACCTACGAGATGGTCAGACTTCTTTGTCAAGACCGTGAATGATGGGTTTTAGGCTCTTCGTGTTCCTAAGGTAAGCAGATGCCATTGGGCTACACTAGCAGGTGACAGAGCAAACTGATGAATAACGGGATGTCAAGTGATCAAGTGATCAAGTAATTTAATATATATAATTGATAGATTAACCTTCCACCTACATAGATCAAGAGTATTGTTCTTCATCATCCAACAACACATGTGTTCTATAAAAGGGTAAAAATTACGTGTAACAGAATCGTTTCCCAGTGCCTACATAAATTCTCTTCTAACATGGCAATGAAATGTGCAATCATTTCTCTCCCACATATAAAAATATATGCAATACACATGCCATAAAATTAAAAATCCAGGAGCCAGAGAGAGACAGAGGGTAGGTAGCTTGCCTTGCACACGGCCAACTTTGGTTCGATCCCTGGCATCCCATATAGTCTCCCAAGGACTTCCAGGAGTAATTCTCAGTGCAAAGCCAGGAGTGACCCCTGAGCATCACCAGTGTGACCCACAGGTGTTTGTTTACCTATTACTTTCAACTAATGACAAAGTGAAATGGCTGTTGTCACCAAGACAAGACTGTCACCCAGCTTTGCTACAGCTAGGGGCCTAGCATACCCCAAGATGAATCCATAATCCTAGAGCCTCTGCCTGTTTGGGGGCTGCCCCTGGTGATGTTGGGGAGTTGATCTTGGAGATGCTCAGGACACTGGCAGTCCTGGGAAACAAACCCAGGCTTCCTGCATGCCAACAAAGCATATACTCCGCCCTCTGAGCCCCCGTCCAGCCCCATCCTAGAAGACTCAGAAACATCGGCAATTCTGAAAGTCTCCTGGCTGTGGATTATATTCTCTCCACCCAAACTGCTCCTGATGGTGCCACCAAGCAGTGCCAAGGTAACTCGGGTGACCCTCCTACAAGCAGAGGAAGCTCTGGCTTCTCCGGGAACTCGCATCATGGCGCCCTGGTTTTCACACATCTAAAGGCACATGGAGAGGGGCTGGAGCGATAACCACAGGGGGTAGGGCATTTGCCTTGCATGCAGCTGACCCGGGTTCGATTCCCAGCAGCCCATATGGTCCCCTGAGCACTTCCTGGAGTGATTTTTGAGTGTATGAACCAGGAGTAACATCAGAGGATCACCAGGTGTGACCCCTCCCCCACACACAAAAAAGAGAGAAACACATGGAGAGGCCACAGGGCATGATCCACTCTTGAGGGCCAGTCATTTCTACCATCCTAGCCAGTGCTCTGGAGAAGAGTGAAGAAGCTTCCAGCTCTTTCCAGACCCTGCCGTGCAATCTTCAGGCAGCAGGCAGCTAGAGATAATCTACCCTAGCCATGCTGGGCGTGCATGCCTGATTCTCTGCATCTGAAACAGAGAAATAATTGTTCTATGGGGCTGGTTTGGAAGGCAACAGGTAACCGCGACACTACTCCTAAGGGAGCCAAGTCCAGGGGCTGGAGCGAGAGCACAGCGGGTAGGGCGTTTGCCTTACATGTGGTCGACCCTGGTTTGATTCCCAGCATCCTATATGGTCCCTTGAGCACCACCAGGAGTAATTCCTATGTGCAAAGTCAGGAGTAACCCCGAGCATTGCCCAGTGTGACCCAAAAAGCCAAAAAAAAAAAAAAAAGAGCCAAGTTCAAGCTAGGGGAACCAAAACAACGCTGGCTGCCCTGGATTCGAACCCTGAGGAAAGGATCTCAGGACCACGCGCTGGTTGCAGAGCCCATTCCTCCCAGACGGCTCTCAAAGACTGGGCTTTCTCCTGGGGTCACAGCTTTTGATCAGATACTCCCCCACCTTTCTTATATTTTTAAATTATTTTTTTATTGTATGAAGTAGTTCACAATTTTTGGTTACAGTTAATATTCAAACACCAATTCCACCACCATTCTACCTTCTCACCACTGTATTTCGAGTGTTTCCATCCCAAACCCTAATCCCTACCGAGAAACAGAACTGA